TGCTGCAGCCCCTGTCCTGCCCCTGCCCTGCTGCAGCCCCTGCCCTGCTGCAGGGCCGTGGGGGGCACTGAGGCACACACCCATGGGGCAGCTGCCCTGGCACTTTGGCCCAAACCAGCTTGCCTGAGCTCCAGGATGTGGGTTTATTTCTCAAGTTGAACCCTGTAATATTTCCACCCCTTGCAGGGGTGTTACCAGACTTAATGAATTAACACACGAAGAGCTTTGAGCTCTCCAGATGAAAGGCACTGCAGAAGGGCTGGGGATTGTTATTTGTGGTTCTAATTTATTTTCCATCAAAGGGATGAGAGGGGTGAGAAAATGCCATTTGTTCTGGAGCTGGGAGCAGGAGTTTGAAGTCTTTTTTTTTTTCTTTCTTTTTCTGTTCCCCTCCCCTTTGTGTGTTTCTCTGGGAATTTTGTGGAAGTCCCTGCTCTGTCTTTTCTTCTCTGGGCACCAGTGTGTGAAGCAGCCACAGTGCTAATCGCCAGAGACTTCAAGGGCTGGGGCATGTTAGGAAAGTGCCTGCCCTGGTTTTCAGTAGCAGCTGATTTCTGGGCATTGCAAAGAGCTGCTGGCTTCAGGGCCAGCTCAGCAGCTAAGGAAAGGGAAGTTCTTACATGGAATTCTTTCTCAAAAGCATCTGACAATACCCTGAGACCCATCTCCTCAGACTCCGTGGCACTGAGTGCTTCCCCTTTGTAATAGCTGGGTTTGTATGCTTTGGGAATTGCCACCCTTGAACAGTGGCAGATATTTTCTCCTGCTGTTACTTTTTGTAGTCAAGTAGCAATAATTTCCAGGGGAGTGGGAGGAACTCCCTGAGAGGAGGTTGGAGCCAGATGGGGGCTGGTCTCTGCTCCCAAGGAACAAGGGACAGGACAGGAGGAAACAGCCTCAAGTTGCCCCAGGGGAGGTTTAGGTTGGAGCTGAGGAGCAATTTCTTGCGCTTGAGGGCTGCCCAGGGCTGTGCCAGGCTGCCCAGGGCAGTGGTGGAGTCCCCTCCCCTGGAGGGGTTCCCAAGCCGTGGAGATGTGGTGTGAGGGACACGGGGCAGTGGGGACCTGGCAGGGCTGGGGTGGACTCGATGATGTGGAAGGGCTCTCCCACCAGCCGCTCTCCCAGGGCGGCCCCGGCGTGGTCGTGCCCATGCTCCTGCTGGAGCCTTCTCATGGGAGAGACTTGGGCACCACAACGAGGTTTTGTCTGGAGTGGTGAATGGAAATTTGTCCTGATTCCTTTTCCCTTTTGTTTCTTTTGCATTGCTGGCTGATTGGTGAAGGCAGAGCCACACCAGTCCTTAGCTGCCCGTGTTTCCAGCTAGTGAGATCAGAAGCAGGAGCAGTGGTGGGTTATGGCCCCTCTGTGGCTCCTGGGTCACACGTGGGCTTCACGGCGTTGGGAGCCTGGTGGGGTGGAGGGGCTGGGCTCTGGCTGTGAGTGGGAATCTGCCTGCTGTGCTGCTGCTGCTCTCAGCACAGGCTGAGCCAAGCACAGCTCTGGTCTTGCTGTGAGACTTGATCTGAGCTGAGTGTTGTCTCCTCGAATCGGCACAGAGCACAAGATGACTTCTGTGGTTGGAGATGCTCGTGGCACCAGCTGAGTTTTCATATTTCACTTCAAGTTTATCAGTGCCAATGTTCTGACTCACTTTTTGTGCCTACATCAGTTCAGTAATGCCTGCGGACTCTGCAGAGCTGAGGAAGCCTCCTCTGAATTGGCACCTCCTGCCGTCCAGTTCTGCCACGGTGGAAAAGTTGGTCTCCTTTTGGGTCATGGAGATTACACTAGCAACCTCTTGTCCAGCAATCTCTTTTCTGTAGCTTTTTGTGCCATGCTGGTGGCCCAGGCAGTGGTTTTGGTGGGGCTGCACTGGGGTTGAAGCTAGCTCACCACACGCCTGCCCGTGCTGGGTGGGGTGATTCTGGTTATAGCTCGGACAGTGAGGACTTCCTGCTCGTTCTTTAATCTGTGTGGCAGCAAAGTGTCTTAGCTCCTGCAGGATAAGTTGTCCTGCAGCAGCTTTCCCTCTTTCAGGGACTGGTGGCTTGCTGGCCACGCTCAGTCTGCAGCATGCCATGGGCAGTGTTCCTTGCAGGGTCTCTGTTTCTCCCACGGAGGTGTCCCTGTGACCCAGAGCCCTCCTGGGCCTGTCTCTGCAGATCATGGTGCTTGTGTGCAGAGGTGCTGAACAGCCTCGGGTGGGGTGTGCAGCACTGCTGACCCTGGTGCTGGCTGGGGTGTGCCAGGCTGTGCCCCACAGCTCTGCCTGGGCCGTGCCAGGAGACAGGAGTGAGCGTGCTGGGGACACAACAATACAGAGCTGCCCGGGGAGCATGAGGCCATAATCACAGAACCCTTCTGGCTGGAAGGAGACCTTTAACATCATGGAGTCCAACCACTAACCCAGCACTGCCAGGTCCCCACTACCCCGTGTCCCTCACACCACATCTCCATGGCTTGGAAACCCCTCCAGGGGTGGGGACTCCACCACTGCCCTGGGCAGCCTGGCACAGCCCTGGGCAACCCTCCAGGGCAAGAAATTGTTCCTCAGGGACAACTCAACCCTCCCCTGGGGCAACGTGAGGCCATTTCCTCATCCTGTCCCTTGTTCCTTGTGAGCAGAGCCCGACCCCCCCCTGGCTCCAGGCTCCTGTCAGGAGCTGTGCAGAGCCAGAAGGTCTCCCCTGAGCCTCCTTTGCTCCAGGCTCAGCACCCCCAGCTCCCTCAGCTGCTCCTCAAAAGACAACTGATGTGTTACACTCCTGTTTCCAGTATCATCCCTGTCTTGCCTTTCCCCACAGAACAACATCCATTGACCTCCAAATTTAGGGTGCTTCTTTGGTGCCCATCCTTGCCCCCAGCCCCAGTGCCACTGCTCTCCCTGGAGCAGAGCAGAGCAGAGCAGGAGGGTTGCTCAGAGCTGCTCTTTGCTCAGCTGTGCCTGAGCGTTCACAGCAGCAAATCCCTGTGCTGTTGCTATACTTAAGGTGCCAAACTCAATTATATTGAGAAGAGAGTTTAAAAACAGGCTTTTGTCTAATGTACAGTATTTTGGCAGCAATTAGCTCCGAGTTTCATCATTTTCCCCAAGGTGAAGATGAGACTGATCAGTGGTGCCTGAGAAGCTGCTGTGCCAGGAGGGGGTTGGCAGCAGGGACAGGAGGGCTGCACATGCTGCAGCCACGTGTTCCAGTGCCACCTTCCTCCAGCCTCAGTGCTCGGTGGCTCTGGGAGATGGTGTCTCTGTGTGAGAAGTGCTTGCTGGGCAGCTTGCAAAGTGCTGGGGACGAGCAGTGGCACAGGCCCATTGGCCACATCTCTCCTGGGGGCCCCTGTGGGCACAGGTTTTGCCACTGGTGGGGTCCCTGTGGTCACACTGGCCCTGGGCTGTGCAGGTACCCAGAGAGAACTGCACTTATGGATTTTTTTTCCTCTCTCCTGTTTGAGAAGATCCTGTGCCCTTCCCAGGGGAATGAAGGGTATTAAGCTGGTGCTGTGGTGAGGGTGCAGCGCAGGGTCACTGCCCTGTCTGGCTGTTTGTTCCCTGGTACCTCTTCCCTTTCAGTCCTCTTTCCTTCTTGCCTGTCTGTGTGGTGTTGCCACACGGTGTTAAACACACCCCGACACGACAGGCCGGGTGTTCCTCCAGCACACAGGGTGCTTTTCTTGGCATTTCATGTACTCATGCCCCCCTGGAACGAAGGTGGGAGCGTTTGTGTGACCAGACCCTTCCTCGGTGTTTCTCAGTGCTGTGACCTGGGGTTCCACGCCAGCCTCGCTCGGACCTTCAGGACTTACCTGTCTGCTGAGTACAACCTGGAGACCTCCCGCCACGAGGGCCTGGACGTCATCGAGAACGCCGTGGACAACCTGGACGCACGGAGCGACAAGCACACCATCATGGACATGTGCAACCAGGTCTTCTGCCCTCCCCTGAAGTTTGAGTTCCAGCCCCACATGGGGGATGAGGTACAGGACTCAGCTGAGGGGCTGGGCTGGGCTGGCTTCCTCTTCTTAACCATCACTGTTAAATTATTCCTGACTCCTCACCCCTCTGTGCTGTCTGCCCACACTGTTATTTGTGTTCCCTCTCTTAACGAGACACTCGGCTCGTTAGAACTTCTCCTTTCAGTCGGCCTCTTGCTCCATATCTCTCCCAATTAGGAAGCCTGTGGTTTGGTTCTCAGCTGCACTGCCCGACAGATTGGGAAAGTGGAGCTTTGATTTACCTGCTGTAACTGGAAGGCTTCAGAGCACAGCTTTCCAGGGCTGGGCAGAAAGCACTTTGTGCTGGCTGGGGTGCAGGGCTGGCCGGGCAGAAGCGGGGCGGTGCAGCCTCCCTGGAGCCCGCGAGGAGCTCGTGGGTGCCGGGGACTCACCTGGGCATGCAGACGAGCGCGCGGCCGGGCGCTGTCCCTGTGTCCCTGTGCAGGTGTGCCAGGTCAGTGCCCAGCAGCCCGTGCAGACCGAGCTGCTGATGCGGTACCACCAGCTGCAGTCCCGCCTCGCCACCCTCAAGATCGAGAACGAGGAGGTGAGTGGCCACCCTGGCTCTCGGGTCTGGCCTCCGGGCCGGGGCTTTTGCCCCTGACACTGGGGCTTCTGCTGCCCTCGGGCACGGAGACCCCCAGTGAGAGCACCGGGGTCCCCCCGCGGGTGCCGGGGCCCAGGAGCTGCCTCCTGGCCAGTTGCTCTGGCTCGAGACGTGTGGGTTCCCCAGCCTGCCTCAGAGCCACCCTGTCTGTTTCGGGCAGGTGCGGAAGACTCTGGACGCCACGATGCAGACGTTGCAGGACATGCTGACGGTGGAGGATTTTGATGTTTCAGATGCCTTCCAGCACAGTCGCTCCACTGAGTCGGTCAAATCAGCTGCATCAGAGACCTACATGAGCAAGATAAACATTGCCAAGAGGAGAGCCAACCAGCAGGAAACCGAAATGTTCTATTTTACAGTGAGTCCCATCTCATGCGATACAGGACACAAAGCATTAATTGCTCTGGCTGAGTCCCATTTCAAGCGCTCATTAGTGAAGAGCAAGAACCAATTCAGTCTCTTTAAGTATTTGTCTTCTGTCTGATTTGGGGTGGGAATGCATCTCTCAGTGGCAGGGCAGTGCATAGGACTGACAATCCAAAGTCTGCCTTGTTCTTCCTCTTAAAGGAACAACTGGAGCAACCAGTTGTAACCAAAACCTCTCAGAACTTGTCAGGAGTGGCTCAGAGGAGGGCAGCAGACTCCAGCCAGCCTTGCAGTGTGTCACCATCCAGTGGCTGTGCCTGGAGGCTTTCACAGTTCTAACTATCAGCCAAACCTTCCTTCTCTGGCCTGCACAGCTAAAACTTGCCCTTGGCCTGTGGTTGAACTGAACAGTCATGTGCATCTCGTGCAGGGTGTTGGAGGAAGCTGTGACAGCTCGGCTTTGCTGAGCCTGGCTTTGCTGAGCCTGGCTTTGCCATGCTGGGCTTTGCAGAGCCCAGCTGTTATGTGTGTGGGGTGGAGGCAGCTCTGCTGTGTCTGGCCTGTAGCCTTGGTCCAGTACCTCACTTCCAGGCAGGTCTGAGGTTCTCTGTCACAGTACTTGAGATGTGAGTCATAAGCCATCAGTTCTGCAGCAGTAGCCTTCATTTGAGCATGGTTGGTGGGCTAAAGTTAACAGCATCTTATGATATTTTACATATGCATAGAAAAGCTGCTGCTTTCTTTTAACACTATTACTCTTGTAATTCGAGGGGGAAAATTACAGGTTTTGTTTTGACTTGTGCTTGGGGTTTTTTTTAATGCTTTTTTGCAAGAATTTGATCTTTCCCATTCTGTGTCCTCCGTTCCCATCCCTGTCTCACTCACTCCCCTCATCTGCAAAGCTGCTTTCCCTGGGGTGTTACTGGGTGCAGGAGCTCACAGTGGGGTGAGGAGTTTGCTGCACAGTTCGTGTCAGGTGGTCCCTGACCTGGGAATGTCTCGTGCACCAGGAGTTCTCTGCATCACTTGTCTGCACAAAGGCACAGCCTCTCTGATTTTTCTAGGCTGTTCCAAGAAGCCTGACAAAAGAAAGCTTGCTTTGAACTCTTTTCTTTGGGGCTTCTTGTGTTCCCAGGCAGGAGGTGCAGCACCAAGGAGACAGGGCTAATAAGATCATCAGGACAGTGGCTGGAGCAGTGAGGAGTGATGAGACTGTGCTCAGCCCCGTGGCGTGTCTGGTGTGGGGTTGTTAGAGCCCGTCAGCCTTGCCAAGCCCCTCCAGGAGCCCCCTGGGCAGAAGTGTACAGCAATGACAGACTGGTTTTGCCAAGAGTCTTAACCCACCTCGTTTGTTTTATTCTTAATTCCAGAAATTTAAAGAGTATTTGAATGGCAGCAACCTTATCACGAAGCTCCAGGCTAAACACGACTTGCTGAAGCAGACTCTTGGAGAAGGTGAGTGGTGGGCTGAGCTCCAGGGAGGGACCTCCCAGCACCTGAGACCACTTGGAACCAGGTGTCATCTTTCAGCCTTGTGCCTGTGTTTTCCTGAGTGGCTGATGGTTGGCTACTCTGCAAAGTTTAACCAGTGACATGAACACAGGGATTTTCTTATTCTTGGTGCTGTGCTTCTGTGTTACAGATTTGCCAGCAGCCTTCTTGATTTAGTAGGCCCCTTTCCCCCTGGCCAGAGGTTTTTGACTTGTTCTTAAACCAGAACTGCAAAA